TGCCCCATCCTTCCAGATTTTGTTGCTCGCATGAATTCGGTATAAAAATAATCAGCAAGCATCGTACTATCGAAATAAGTCGATTCTCGATTTTGTTGCTATAACTGTAACATGTAAAAATTAAATAGTTTATCCCGGCCGACCGTGTCTCGTGTTCTAACAATAAGTATTGTTACCTGATTCTCCCAGAATTTGTTGCTAGCATAAATTTGATATATAAATAATCTGCAAGTATCGTACTATTGAAATATAACAATTTTCGATTTTATTACTAACATGTTAAAATGAGCAACAAATTCTGGAAGGATTGGGCAAGGGAACTTAGAGCTCGCGGCGCGGTCGGCTAGGATAAATTATTTAATTTTAACACGTTAGAGTTAGCAACAAAATCGAAAATCGATTTATTTCGATAGTACGACGCTTGTGGATTATTCTAAGATCGAATTCATGCGAGCAACTAATTCTTTGAAAATTGGGCAACGGAACTTATAACGGGCAGGGCATACTATGTAGGTTTTCTACTGTTATTTATATTTATTTTGCGAGTAACTAAATCAAGACTAACATATTTTGTGAGCAACAAATTAGCAACAAATTCTGACATTATTTTTATGCATAATTTTGTTGTTATATTATATATTGTTCTGCTAACTTAATCTTCCTTTAGCAGAACATCATTAAAAAAAAACTAATAGAGCAAATTATTTTCTTTGGCAACTTTTTAGCAATATAAGCAACAAATAATTTTACTAGTTAGAATTAATTCTGCTCACTAGTTTTACTAGTTAGAATTTTGTTCTGCTAACTTATAAGACGTAAAATGTATTGTATATATTCTTTTATTTAAATTATTTAATTATGTAATTATTATATAATCTTAACAATTTTATTCTTGAAATTAACAAATAACAAAACAAGTCATCACATCTCTCTAAATTAAAAAAAATAAAATGTTTATATTACGTTTATGTTATAGATTTAATAAACATAATATAATATAATATAAGCTTTATATTATAGACTCTTTATGAGAAAGAAGTTATAAATAATGCAAAATACTATTATTGTCATTAGATTTGTTTGTGATACTTGAAATATCTAAAAATTTGTACACTTAAAACGAGATAAATATATGTATATTGATGAGATAGGAAGCGAAGATTCTGAGTGTAATAAGTGCAAACAATTATGCAAACAGATATACCTATTATCCTCTTGAACAAAAAGATGATAATGATATTTCTTCAATTTCTAATACAATATTGTACTAAAAACGGCGTTTACATAATTGATAATAAAAATTAATAACATACGCACAAAAATAAAATTGTAATAATAATTATAAGTAGATTTATAAATTAAAAATATATATATTTTTTGTAAAATACATCATTATATTTATAAAATATTATTTTTTATTGAATTTAATTTTATTTTCATAATAATTTAATATTCAATTTTGTTTCTTGTGTCTCGTCAGCTTGTTTATAATAGTTTATTAAATTTGAAAAAGACTAAATTAAAACACAAGAATGATTTATACGTTAATATTTTATACATTACAATATTTTATTTCATATAGTTACAATATTTTACATTTTATTTATATACTGCGCGTTAATATTTTATATTAATATTGACATATTAACATTACTAAATTTAATAATTATAAATAATTTTCTTTAAAAAGTTCGACATTTAGATACAGTTATAAATTAGATAACAAGTGTTAGATGATAAGTTATACATTTTTTAAATTTATTATCATTTTTTGATGATTGTTCGCAGTCAAGAGATAACTGCAGAAAATTTTTATAGAAAAGAATTGAAAAAACAAATTAATATTTTTTAAATAAAATTTTCTCAATCTATTATTACTAAAATTTTAATAAGATATTACGATGCTAGAATGATATAATATTTAAAACATAAACAAATTTACATAATAAAATTTTTAAATCTATTGCATTGACGACGTTGTTACAATCCGCTCAAGCATCTATAAACGGGAAAGTAAATGAACATATATTGCATTCCGTTATTGCGACATACACTAATCTATGTTTATTTCAACTATCACCGAAGTAGAAAGTTTTTTTTTCATTACATGATGTGGAATCGAATGAACGTATGTAATTTAGGTTGCCGTTTTCCGGTGCAATTCTCTATTAATGACGACTAAAGCTATTCATAACTCACACGATACATTGTAAAACGACATCCTTGACTTGTGGCATCCTTGTTTGTCGATCATAGATCAGTGGCACGAGGCCGTTAGCGATTATTCATCATGATCGCATCCTATTCAAATTACGATAGTATATGCAGATCTATACGGCAAACGTGACGAAGATGGTACAAAGTGAAAACTGAAAACCATGCAGATTTCAACTGTAGGAGCAAATATCGACACTTGGTTTGGCCGCTGGTGACCTCGATTCTGAATCCCGCCGTCTGTCCTTTCACTTTAAAAGCGTTTCAGTGAGCATTCTTTCTCGCACCGGCTTAATACCGAAGACACACGTATTTCGTAAAGATACCTCAGTTCACTTCTAGAACGCCGATTAGTGAGTCGTATCCCGTCGCTGACGTTCTTAGATTTCACTTTCATGTAAGTTTCAAAACGGACGCGTATCCATCGTTGTCACATTTTCTTTACATCGCAATCGATTCTCTTCAATGCAGTTATTAGATATATTTTGTTAAGGAAATGATTGTACAAAAATACAAAATGAGAATAGTGCGGAAATAATAAGTATGTAATAGAGCATAATATGAAAAATTAATGAGAAATAATTTAATGTGAAGGTATTTATTGAGTTTTCTTGAGAAAAGATGTTGCATCTAGCAGTTTCACTCTTAGATTCCACTTTCACGCCATTCATCTGAGTTTAGTGGAATTAGTAAACTGATGATCAATGTAAGAAATATTTAATTCTTTGCTGCGTATGTATGTACAATATGTACATACACTGAGAAAAAAAATTACTTAAAACAAAAAAATGTTATTTGCTTCAAGAAATTATTTTTTTGAGGGGTACCTGAAACACATTTATTTGTTTTAAGTAATTTTTTTTCTCAGTGTACATATAGGATACCTGTCTTTTATATTTTTTCTGTATTTACACATGTCATTAGTTTGTGTAATACATTTCGTATCTTTATATTTCTGAGATATATATATACATATACAGGATGTCTGCAAAGGTTGAGACAAAACTTATATAATGTGTTAATAATGATTATTATGTGAAAAAAGTTCATATAAATTTATGTCCGAAAATGCTTTATTAAAAAGTTATAAATGTTTAAAGATTTATGAGCAAAATTGCTCTCTATAATATAATTCGTTATACGAAATCGCTGACTCAGGACAATTTATATACCTTGATTTGTATACGAATTTCATTAGTTATTATAACAAATGTTCGAAAGTTTTTCCTCTACAAAAATGCAAGTTTCCAACTCGTCGAATTCTTTCGAATATTTCCACTAAATATTAGAATGTAGTAAATTCATTTTGAACGTTCCCAAAATTGATCTTTTAGCTGTTTCTTTCAGATCCTCACAAACCAACTGTTTTGCGTGATCCTATAAATCGAAGTCAAGAGGAAGTAAATCTAATGATCATAAGATCGAATAATTGACCTAAATGAGATTTATTTGGCCCTGAGTTATCGCCGCTATTCCATTTCATATAAAGAATTATAAAGAACAAGTCTGTTCGTAAATCTTTTAACATTTATAATATAAATTTATTTTAACTTTTTTCACCTACTTGATGTCGTTCATATATTGTATAAGTTTTGTCCCGATCTTTGCAAATACCCTATATATACCTACATGAATTACGTGAATATGTAATTATATTTTGTATTAAAAATAAGTTATAAACAAAATCTTTGTCAAAATTAGAACTTCTTTTTTAAAAAATCATAAAAAAAGGATAATAAACATATCCTAAAAATCTCTACATTAATATTTTTGAGATTGCTGATTTCAAATCTGCATTCAAAATTTGAAAATTTAAAACAATTGATTCAATATAGTGATTAAAATCGACTAAAAAAATTTTTTTATATTTTTACAATATATATTCACATTTGAAACGTCATTATCATGTCTTTATCGTTAATTTTGAGTTATGCTAAGAGATTAAAAAGAAAGATTTCTCCGGTATTGGATCTACTATTTTGAATTTTCAATTGTTAATTGCAGATTGAAAATTAGAAACCTAAAAAACACCTATATAAAATTTCAATATAAATTATAATAGAGTTTTTTTTTAATTTAGCCACCATATTGGATGCCATTTTGACATTTTATATTTTGACTTGACATTTGCAATCAGCGACTCCAGAAACTTCTATGTATTAACTGTAAAATTCAGCAAAATATGTTTAAAAAATTGTGCAACGAATGGATAAGGCGGATACAGATTTATTACACATTCGCGTATCATATATATATGATCATGTATCATGCTTTGACTATATAAGTATTTATATAATCAAAAATATCATGTAGGACGGGAAGTATTTTATACCAAGATTTTGATACAATAATGATATGTAAAGACGTACTATGTCGAATCATTGAAATAATACGCAATGATGATATGCTATGCGGATATGCAAGTCTGTTTCTCTTTAAGATATACGAGAATAAAAACGAATACAATAGTAATAGTTTGCAACTTGAACTTATTGTTAGCAAACTAGAAATTGCAAAATTAAAGTTTCGTAACGCCGCGCGTCGTAGAATTTGTACAAATGTTGTACATATGACTTTAGACAACGATCTAATTTTAAATATTAAACGCTATGTATTCTCGTACGTGCAAACGAAAATTATGGACTCAGAATTTATAAAATCAACATGCTATAATTTTTTAGCTATCAAATCTACATAGAAAAGACTTTTTTTAACCACATTTACATAGAACATATTTTTTATTAAAAGTAAAAATATTATAATATCTGGATTAATTAATATATCCGTTGAATTTTAATATATTTGCAACTTTATTAAAAATGGTTACATGTTTTTTGAGTAAAATAACTGACTTGAGTATAAATATATGTTTATTAAAATTTGTATTTGCCATTGAAGCAGATTTAGTCAAGTCCCACTTTAAATTATCAAATTAAACCGTATGATTATATTCTAACATCTCTTGTTTGCTCGTTTTATTTGTTTTTATTTATTATTTTTTATTTATTTGTTCTTATTTTATTACGTTTTTCCAGAATGTTTAAAACTAAAATAAAAATTTTTAAATATAAATTACAAAATTTATAATAATTAGAAAATTAAAATAAAAAATTAATCGAATAGATCACTATTACCTGAGAAGATAATATAATGAAAATATCGTATATCTTGTTCTGAAAGTTAATTTTTACTTGTCATATTTGATTATAGAACAGCCATGAAAGTTAAATCACGCACTTGAAAAAATATATAAATAATCGGTGTGCACGCTGAAAGTTTCTTTTTAAAATGAACGTTAAAACAGCGCTTTCACAACTGCTGCTTTTATTAATCTTCTATGATCGTAAGTATATTAATTGTTTCGTATGTAACATCTTTTGCCCTTAAACCAAAATTAAAAAATATAAAATAATACAGGGTGTCCCGTAACGCTTAATTAATATTTCAAGGCGTGAAAGAGAATGAAATTTTGAACTAAAAGTTCCTCTTTCAATTTTGGCTCAGAC